GGCGGCCCCCCGTATTTAGGTCTTACTCGTGTTCTGCGCTACCACGGAGTAGATGCACTATCGGGGGGCCGACCAAGGAGGGGGGCTAGGCGTTCTCCCGCAGGGGACGGGGAGGGCACGGGAGGCGCAAGTGGTAAGGCGGGTGAAACAAACCGTCGAGCGCCACCCCATGCCTCCCCGTCCCCCAAGCCCCTGTGGTGCTGTTGCTCGTCGTCCTGGCGGCGTGCCACCAGGGACGAGCATGAGCTCGTCGTCCTGGCGGCGTGCTACCAGGGGCGAGCAGGAGCTCGTCGTCCTGGCGGCGTGCCACCAGGGGCGAGCTCACTTGCGTCCTGGCACTGGCTCCAGCTGGCCTCGTCTTTCTCCTCAAGGCTCAGGACCCTCAAGGCCCAGGAAGTTCTCCCCCTCTTCGAGGCCAGCCCTGGAGCGTCTTGTCCTTTTGATCGCTCCCTATCGGGGGCGACCTTCACCACGACCTCCGTGATCCTGATGAGGGAGGTCGTGGCTCTGCCTTGCCGAGCCTCCTAGGAGGCTCCAACTGACGCCTCAGCGTGATCGCTTGGCGGCCTGGCTAAGAAAGAAAAGAGGAGGAGGAGGAGGAGGCGGAGGAGGAGATGGGTCCAGGATGGGCCCAGGGGCCATGGAGGCTGGGAAGGGCTTCTGGGCGGCCCAGGCGCGGGCCCTGGGCCCCCGGTCGCCGCCCGGGCGCGTTCCCGACCTGGGGCCTGTCTTGGCGCCCGTCGTTTTCGTCCTGGGGCCTGTCTTTTGGGGTCCTGGCAGGCCCCAGGACGAAACTGGCAGGCCCCTGGGCCTGTCTTGGGTCCTGACTCGGGGCCTGTCTTTTGGGGTCCTGGCAGGCCCAGGTCGTGGTCGTTTTGGGGGCCCGTCTTGGGGCCCGAGCTCGGTCCCCAGAGCCGCCAAACAGATGGCGCGCTCCCCGACAGGGCCGCGCACGCGAGGTTTCGCGGGAGTTGGCACTGCTTCCAGTGGCAGAAGGCCGGCGGAAGCTGGCGGACGTAGACTGGCTGCGGAGTCGCCGGCGGAAGCCGGCGGAAGTAAGCACATCGTCGTTGAGATCTGACTTCTTTTGGGAGTTCAGGGTTCCCGCAGCGGGCCATATTCCACAGAGCCAGTCCAAGGCAGCCGAACCTATAGTATGGAGAGGAAACCATCACGATTCCACGTGCGAGTGATAGCAAGCGGCTATCAGAAGCATGGTGGGCGACCCTTGGTCTGGCGACAAATCTCGTACTCAGTCGTTTTTGGCACAATGCCGACTCGTCAATGAAATTTGGCCGAGGCGGCGTTCTTGGATGCCAAAGGCGCCCGTCTTGGAGGCCTAGAAGCAGCCCAAGAGGGGCCAACGTGGAGCGATCATCTGTTCCGCACGCGAGCTGGGAGCGATCGGGAATTCGAGATCGTCTTGGACCAGTCGGTTGGCGGGATGTTTCTAGAGGCTTCGCCATTACGCTTAAGTCGGCCTGCCCCTCTACAGGGGGAATATTCACAAATAGTTAAAAATAGTCTGGGGACTATTTTTGAGCATTTTTTTGTGCCATTTTGGAGTATTTTTTAAAAAGTTTTCGTCGAAAATCCCCCTCTAGGGGGACACGCCCGACTTAACATCACGCCGATGCTGAGAACGCACAGGTGCCTCCAGGCGGGCAAGTTGGAGGAGGAGGAGGAGCAGTAGTAGGACGAGGTGCAAGATGTGGGAGGGAGCGCGGGGGGCCACGGAGCGGGACCAGGGATAAGAGGAGGACATCAGCAGCACGATGCTGCAGAGAAGGAAGACGATGATGACGATGACGACGACGATGAAGATGACGATGACGATGATGACGATGAAGATGAAGTTGACGATGATGGTGGTGATGAAGATGACGATGACGATGGCGACGACGATGATGATGAGGATGATCATGCTGACGTCCACGATTATGATGACGACGATTGCAGTGGCGATGACGACGATAACGATAACGATGACGATAACGTTGACGATGACGATGCTGTTGCTGCTGATGGTGATGCTACTGCTGCTGCTGATGCTGATGACGATGATGATGATGATGCTGATGATGGTGGTGGTGGTGGTGATGATGATGATGCTGAGTATCACGACTCCGATGGTGATGATGGTAGTTATCATGATGATGCCGATTCTGTTTATGATGATGCTGATGATGATGGTGATGAGGCTGGACGGTATGATGATGGTGATGATGAAGATGCTGATGATGCTGATGATGATGATGTCGATGATGCTGATCGTAATGATGATTTGTATGATGATGATAATTGTGGTGTTGATGATGCCGCTGCTGATGATTCTGGTGATGCTGGCGGTGATGAAGATGATGATGATGATGATGATGATGATGATGATGATGATGATGACGATGATGATGATGATGATGATGATGATGATGATGATGATGCTGAGTATCATGATGATGGTGATGCTGATGATGGTATTGATGACGAACATTGCGGTGATGCTCATGGTGCTGCTGCTGCTGATGATGCTGCTGATGATGGTGGTGATGATAATGATAGTGGTGATGATGGTGATGATGAGGATGATGACGATGATGATAGGGGACGACGCCAATGAGTCTGATGATGATGCTGATGATGATGATGATAATGATGATAGTGTTGATAATCATGATGATGAGCACGATGATGATTATGATGATGGTGATGCTGTGAATGATGCTGATGATGTCGACGACTATGATGACGCCGAAGATGCTGACGACGATGATGATGCTGCTGATGATGATGATGATGATGATGATGATGATGATGATGATGATGTCGATGCTCACCATGACGATGATGATGCTGATTGCGGTGATGATTCTTATGATGGTGATCATGATGATGCTGATGATGATGCTGATGATAATGATTGATGCTGATGATGCTGATGCTGATGATCATGCTGATTGTTGTGATGATGGTGATGGTGATGCTGATGCTGACGATGATGGTGGTGGTGATAATGATGATGGTGGTGATGATGATGACTGATGCTGAAGATGATGACCACACTGACGACTCCGATGATGATGAATATGGTGATTACGATGATGATGATTGTGATGATGATAATGGTGATGCTGCTGCTGCTGAAGATGTTTGGGATGATGCTGAAGATTCTGACGATGCAAGTGATGATGCTGACGAGTGATGATGGTGGTGATGCTGATGCTGCCGATGATGTTGCCGATGGTGATGATGATGCTGATGAGGATGATGGTGATGATGGTGATGATGATGATGCTGATTGCGGTGATTATCCTTATGATGGTGATCATGGTGATGCTGATGATGATGCTGATGATACTGATTGATGCTGATGATGCTGATGCTGATGATGCTGCAGATTGTTGTGATGATGGTGATGCTGATGCTGATGCTGTTGCTGATGATGATGATGATGATGGTGGTGATGATGATGATGGTAGTGATGATGATGATTGATGCTGAAGATAATGACCACACTGACGACTCCGATGATGATGAATATGGTGATTACGATGATGATGATTGTGATGATAATGGTGATGCTGCTGCTGCTGAAGATGTTTGGGATGATGCTGAAGATTCTGAAGATGCAAGTGATGATGCTGACGAGTGATGATGGTGGTGATGCTGATGCTGCCGATGATGTTGCCGATGGTGATGATGATGCTGATGAGGATGATGGTGATGAGCATGATAATGATGACGACGATGACGATGAGGATGCTGACGATAATTATGACGACGCCTATGATGCTGAGGATTATGCTGATAATGCTACTGATGATGAGGATGATTCTTATTTCGATTATCAGTATCATTGCGGTGATGCTGCTGATGCCGATGATGATGATGATGTTGATGCTGATGCTGATGCTGATGCTGATGCTGATGGTTACGATGATGCTGATGATGCTGCTGCTGCTGATGATGATGATGCTGATGATGCTGCTGATGATGATGATGCTTATGATGCTTATGATGATGCTGCTGCTGCTGATGATGATGATGCTGTTGCTGTTGCTGCTGCTGCTGTTGCTGGTGCTGCTGATGATGTTGTTGTTGTTGCTGATGACGATGGGGAGGAGGGGAGGAGGAGGAGGAGGAGGAGGAGGAGGAGGAGAAGGAGGAGGAGGTGCTGGAGGAGGAGGAGGAGGAGGAAGAAGAAGAAGAAGAGGAGGAGGAGGAGGAGAAGGAGGAGGAAGGGGGGGATGAGGGGGAGGAGAAGCAGGAGGAGAATTAGGAGGATGAGGAGGAGGAGGAGGAGGAAGAGGAGGAGGAGGAGGAGCAGGAGCAGGAGGAGGAGGAGGACTGTGTCTCATCTCCTTCCTTCTCTCCCGTCCCCTGGTGGCTCCCTTCTTCACTGCCTCGCCCGTCTTGCTCTGCTCGACCTCCGGCTTCTGCTCCCCCCCTCCCTCGGGCTGCTCCCCCGCTCCTCTCTTGCCCCCAGCTCTGCGAGGAAGCAGCGGCGGGGCCGCGGCTCCTCTCGCCCGCCCGTCTCCTGCGGTGGCCCTTGCCCTGCTGCTGCTGGTCCCTGGAATGGCAGCCTCCTGATTCTCTTGTCTGTGTCTCGTCTTCTGCATGCTGACCAGCAGTGCGCGAGCGCGCTGCTCAATGAGATCGCGGCGTCACTGTGTTGGTGCAGGAAAGGTTGGCATAGACAGCACCCCTGGGTGAGGACAATCTGCCAGAGCGTGCAGTGGCCCTCCCCTCTTCTCCCCCCCTCCTCCTGGCCCTCCGCTGGCCCAGTCTGTGCCGTTGTAGTTGCACGCGTGCATGCGTTGGGCACTCCTGAACATCGGCTCCCTGAGGCGGCAGGCACCCGCAGGAAGGGGAGGAGGAGGAGGAGGAGGAGGAGGAGGAGGAGGAGGAGGAGGGGAGGAGGAGGAGGAGGAGGAGGGGGAGGAGGAGGAGGAGGAGGAGGGGGCAGAGCCGCGAGAGGGCCGCCCCAGAGGGCCGCCCCAGAGGTGCCCCTCGATGCCTTCGGGGACGGCGGCGCGGAGGCCCCGGGCCGCCCGAAGCGGCGCCGCATGGCGCCCCTGGAGGCCTGGCGGAACGAGAAGGCCGGCCCGGCGGGAGGGAGGGACGGCGAGGAGCGGGAGGCGGGCGGCCGAGGGCGAGGGCGGGCGTGAGGATGGTGATGGTGATGGTGACGGTGATGGTGATGAACATGATGGTGGTGATGATGATGATGATGGTGGTGGTGATGGTGATGATAATGATGGTGGTGATGATGACGATGATGATGATGACGATGATGATGATGATGATGATGGTGATGATGATGATGACGATAGTGATGATGATGACGATGATGATGATGATGCTGATGATGACGACGACGATGATGATGATGATGATGATGGTGAGGGTATCGGTGGTGGTGAAGAAGAAGAAGGATACGAGCACTACTATTGATGCTACTATAGGTATTCACGGATCAGTCAGACGAAGAAAATCTACTACGGTGAAACAGTTCTTACTGGTAGTACGATTTGTAATCATAGTTTTTATCGGATTAAGAAGAAAACGAGCGTGATCATGATGCTGATGCTACTCATGATGCTGCTGCTGATGATGACGATGATGGTGATTATGATGCTCATGATAGCTGGTGATGATGGTTATGATGGCGGTGGTTGTGGTGAGCATAGTGATGCGGCTGCTGATGATGCTGATGACGATGCTGACAACGATCATGATGTCGCTGATGATGACGATGATGATTATGACGAAGATGTTGATGATGATGCTGCTGCTGATGATGATGATGATGGCGATGCTGATGAGGAGATGATGATGAGGATGATGATGATGATGATGATGATGATGATGATGATGCCAGGGGTGGTGGTGAAGAAGAAGAAGGATGAAAACGAACATAGTAGTACCCAGGCTACTAATCGTAATAATGGGAGTAGTAAGACAAACAGTATCATTGCAGCGAATCAGAGTATTAGTAGTAGTGGTAAACAGAGAAATACTAACCATGTTGAGGAGAAGACGATAGTGATGCTGATGATGCTGTTGATGATAACGTTTGTGATGATGAAGATGGCGATGTTTATCACGATCATGGTCATGATCATGGTGATGATGGCGATAACGATGTTCATGATGATGCTGCTGATGGTGATGTTGATGATGATGGTTATTATAGTGGTGGTTGTGGTGAACATGATGACGCTGCTGCTGACGATGCTGACGACGACGCTAACAACGATCGTACCGCTGACTGTGATGATGGCGAAGATGATGATGATGATGATGATGATGCTGACAATGATGATGACCATGCTGATGCTGCTGATGATGATGATGATGAGGGTGATGCCGATGCTGCTGATGATGATGATGGTGGTCGTGGTGGAGGTGAAGAATAGGAAGAGTGATATTAACAATACTCGTAGTACTGATGGTACTAATCGTAATAAGGGGAATGCTAAGGCGAAGAAGAGTACTACGGTGAATAAGAATATCAATAGTGATAGTATTCCGATTGCGAATACTCACCATATTAAGGAGAGAACGATGGTGATGCTGATGCTGCTGATGATGCTAATGATGATGATGATGCTGATAATGATGATGCTGATGGTGATCATGATCATGATCACGGTGTTGATGATGGTGATGATGTTCATGACGCTGCTGGTGATGCTGATGCTGGTGATGATGGTTACGATGGCGGTGGTTGTGGTGAGCATGAGGATGCTACTCATGATGCTCATGACGATACTGGTAACGATTCTGTTATCGCTGATGCTGATGACGGAAGCGATGATGATGATGATGATGATGCTGATGATGATGATGATGATGATGATGATGGTGATGATAATGGTGATGATGATAATGATGATGCTGATGATGATGTTGGTGATGCTGATGATGAGGATGATGATGGTGGTGATGATGCTGATGATGATGATGTTGCTGACGATGATGATGCTGATGATGACGATGATGATGATACTGCTGCTGCTGCTGCTGATGACTGTGATGCTGATGAGGAGGAGGATGGTGATGATGCTGCTAGTGGTGGTGGTGGTGGTGCTTGTTGTCGTGGTGATGCTGATGGTGATGGTGATGGTGATTGTGGTTGTGGTAATGATGATGCTGATGATGATGATGATGATGATACTGATACTGATGATGATGCTGCTGATGACAATGATGCCGGTGATGATGCTGCTGCTACTGATGATGATGCTGTTTCTGATGATGATGATGATGATGATGATGATGATGATGATGGTGCTGATGCTGATGATGATGATACTGATGCTGATGCTGATGATGATGATTATGATGATGATGATGATGATGATGATGATGATGATGATGATGATGATGATGATGATGATGATGATGATGATGATGATGCTGATGATGATGCTGCTGCTGATGGTGACGACCACGTTGATGATGATGGTGTTGTTGGTGGTGTTCGTCATGGGGAGAGGAGCCGTTACCGCGTCAAACTCGCCGCCGCAGGGCCGTCAACCCCGCCGCAGGCCTCTGATGGCGGCGACGACGGATCGCCGCGCGGCGCTGGCTGCGGCCCGTGGGGCCGCGCTGGCGGTGCACAGCGCTGGTGGCCTGACGAGGGGCGCGGCGGCCGCAAGGGTGCTGCGCTCCGCTGAGGGCCTCGTTTGTGCCGCCGCGGCAATGCTCGAAGGCGAACTTCGAGCGGCCCGCCCCGCGGCCTCCCATGGAGGAGGAGTCGGTGGCGATGGAGGCCCCGCTCCCGCGACGTGTCCCCCGCCTGACGGTCCGCGGCCACGGCGGCGGCGCCGTCGCGTTCGGCGTCGCCCAGCTCGCGGGAAGCAGGACGTGCCCATGGTGCTTGCCGCTGCTGCCGCGGCTAACGAAGCGGCGCCCGCCGCGCCCGACCTCGGATGCGTAGGCGGGGGCTCGGCGGACGGCGGTGGTGACGGCCTTGAGGGCGACACGTGGGCGGACGCCGTGTCCCGCACTACGCCCTCGGCCGCTGCGCCTGCCGCGACGCCTGGAGCCGCTGCTGCAGCCGCGGTGGTCGACGCTGTCGTGGCGGCGGGCCTGCTCACCCGCCCTGTCGCACAGCGGATGGCGGTGGAGGTTTTCGGTGTGGACGAGCTGATCAGGGTCTTGGAGGAGTCCAGGACGGCGGCTGCAGGCGCGGCGGCGGCGTCCGGTGGCGCGGCTGGGGGTGCGGGGGAAGGGCGACAATGCTTGCCGGCATCGCTGGCGGGCCGTCCTCCCCTCTCAACGTGCTCCTCGTCGGCAACCGCGCCCTGGTCGCGTTCCACATTTTCGGGCTCTTCTGAGCTCCCCGCTGCTCAGGCGCCGCTGACATTGTCGCGCGCCTGATGCGGTAGATAGATGCAGCTGTGCTGGGGTGAGGATGGTGAGCGTGATGCTGATGATGATGGTGATGAGGGTAAGGATGAAGATGACGATGGTGATGCTGATGTCGACGATGGTGATGGTGATGTTGAATGGTGATGGTGATGGTGATGGTGATGGTGATGGTGATGGTGATGGTGATGGTGATGGTGATGGTGATGGTGATGGTGATGGTGATGGTGATGGTGATGGTGATGGTGATGGTAATGGTGATGGTGATGGTGATGGTGGTGATGATGATGATGATGATGATGCGGAGGAGGGGGAGGAGGAGGAAAACGAGGAGGAAGGGGATGAGGATGAGGAGGAGGAGGAGGAGGAGGAGGAGGAGGAGCAGCAGCAGCAACAACATCATCATCATCAGCAGCAGCAGCGGCAGCTGCAGGTGCAACAACAGCAGCACCAGCAGCAGCAGCAGCAAAACCAGGACTGTCTTTCCTGGCCGTGCTCTCCTGGCGTGGCCGCCAAAGCCCCCGCGCCCCGCGCGGCCGCCGTTGCCGCGGTCGCCGAGCGCGCTTCGCCGCCGCCGCCGCCGCGACCGCCTCCCCGCTGCTCCCGAGGGGTAGACCGTGGTGCCCTGGGTGGGCGGACGGCTCCTTCTCCTCGTCCTCGTCGCCTTCCTTCTCCTCCTCCTCCTCCTCCTCCTCCTCCTCCTCCTCCTCCTCCTCCTCCTCCTCCTCCCCCCTTTGCCCTCCTCTTCCTCCCCCTCTTCCTGTCTCTCCTTCCTCTCCTCCCTCTCCTTGAGACGGCTAAAAGAGAAGCGCGAAGGTTTGCATCGAGCTGCACTAGTCAGGGATTCCCTCGGTAAGTTGTGCACGGGCGAAGCTTCAATCTGTGAACTATTTGCTGTCTTTCATGAGGAACAATCCGCAGAACCTTGTGCTCGGGAATATGCGCTGTCACCAGAGGGTCCAGGTCATGCAGTGTCAGAGGAGGAGTTGAGAACAGCAGTAAGGAAGGTGAATACCGCGAAAACAGGGGCAGGTGACGGCCTGGTGGCAGAATTGTTGGAGACTGATCGCCCAGGGCTCGTGCGAATCATTACAGATTTCTTTGCTGATGTTTTGCAGGTGAGGATGCTGCCGCCCGAACAGTGGAGACGGATGAAGTTTCGCATTCTCGTCAAAAAAAGGATCCGACAGTGCCGAACAATTACCGGTCCATCGCAGTGATACCCGTCATGTGTCAACTATTTTGCGTACTTTCGTACCACATCATTCAGCCTAACATTGAAAAGTGTCTGGGGCGAGAGCAGTTTGGATTCGGACCGGGGCGGATATGTGCAGATGCTATACAAGTTATGCGCACGATTGTAGAGAAGTCGTTTGAATGGGAAGAAGGCCTGTCGGTGATCACGCTAGACGAAGAAAAAACTTTTGGCAGAACGTTCATCATTATTCGAATCGTTACTTGACAGCGGTATTGATTTTCGGGTAGTCGGCGCATTCGGTCGTTTGCATTTGAACGTGAAAAGATACGTGGCGCCATGGCCCGGCGCCGTCACTCATGAGTTTGTCGTTGAGCGTGGAGTGAAATAAGGAGGTCCGCTTTCCACGGGGCTGTTTAATTTGGCATTGGATGGTGCCCTCCCCGAAGCCAGCGGTATCTGGAAGAGGTCACGATACAACACGAATGTTAGCCAGGAGTGGCGTGGGGAACGTTTGACTCGCATCTG